GGGGGGGGGGGGGGGGGGGAGCCACAGCTGGGCGCTGCGCTTGCGGGTGGAGTACATGATGCTGAAGTCGTTCTCACCGGCCCGGAGCAGCCCCTCATCCGCCTCCCGCAGCTCTGCCACACAGCCCACCAGCAGCTCCAGCTTCTCGTTCTTCTTCCTGCCAGGGTCCTGGCTGCTCAGGGGCAGGGCCTCATGCCCAGAACGACCCAAGAGTGGGGCCTCCTGCAGGTAGGAAGGCCCTGGGGACAGTGGCCCCTCAAAGCCACCCACCCACCTGGATGGCTTCCCTGCTGCAGCCTGGGGGCTCCCGTCTGCACCGTGCTAGACCTGGTGCCCCGGCTCTCCAGACTCCCGGCCGCTGCTCTGCGCCCCTTTTCCTGCAGCGCCAGCCCAGCCCCTCTCCTCCCGAGGGCGGCCAGGCTGTGGACGTGGGCCCTCTCCCACCCACCCGTGCCGGCTCCTTCAAGGGGACAGGGTGTCCTCTCCTGCAGCCCCCTGGGAGTCCGGCCCTACCAAGCACGAGTGGAAACGATCTTGGCCCCGTTGGTCTCCATGGAGTAGCGGGAGCAGGGCAGGATGGCAAAGCCGCTTTCGGGCAGGAAGGCGCGGAGGTAGCGGTAGATCTGGGGGCGAGGGGTGGGGTGAGGAGGTGGGCCAGGGGCATCTCTGGCCCCTCTCCTTCTCCAGGGCTCTCGGCCTGCTCTGCCACTGGCGGGCCATGTAGTCCTGGGGGACTCACGTCCCCTCTTAGGGCCTGTTTCCTCTGTTGTCAAGTAAAGAGCTTTGGCCTCCATGCCTGAGGCCCCCCGCTGCCCGCTCCTAGGATTCTCAAGGGCTAGGAGGTGGGGGGCTGGGGGCTGCGCTGAGGGGCTCAGAGCCTGCCGGGGGCAAGTGCGTGGGGGACACGCGGGAGGGCAGGGGAAGGGAGGGCTCCCTCACGTGGGTCTTGAGGGCAGACTCCTGCCGCGGGCCCCGGCTCTGGAAGTAGTGGGCCATCCAGCCTCCCAGCGTCAGGGCCCGGTACGCAGCCTCCAGGTCCCGCTGCCTCAGGAAAGCCTCCAGCGCTGAGCGCAGGTGGTGCTGTCGCCGCAGGGGGGGCACGGGGCTGGGGGAGAGGGCACGCCTGGGTCCCAGGGCCTTGCTGGCCCCGCCCCACCCAGTGGAGCTGCGGGGGCTCGCTGAGGGCTGAAGGACAGGACGGTGGCGCAGGAGACGGGGCGGGGACCCCCTCGCCGCCCTCGCCCCGGCTGCCTCACCTGACGCCCATCTTATGGGTGCGGAAGCCCAGGTAGGGGTCGAGGACGAGGCTGGTGGCCAGGTCGTCGTTCTCGCACAACTCTCGGGCTGTCACTCTGCCCGGCCCCATGCTGCCCCGGCGACCATGCTGCCTCCAACGGGGAGCCAGGCAGGGGCAGGGCCTGGCGGAGAGCCTGGCCTTGGGCTCGCTCTGCGCTGGAGGCCGGGGGGAATGGCGAACCCCGAAGCCTCCTCATCTAGGAAACGGGGTGGGGTAGGGTGGGGAGAGCAGCACTGACTTCACAGGGTTCCAGCGACGGACCAGGGCAACAGGTCCTTCCCGCGCAAGCTGGGGGTAGCCCGCGCCGCGGTCCCTGCCGCCCCACAGGCTATCGGCTGGGGTAACCCTAAAGGCTCGGGAGCAAGCTCCAGCTCTGCCTCAGAGGCAGGACCCAGGGTCCCGCCCGCCGCCCGCAGCCCTCAGGGGCGCCCAGGGCTCCGTGAAGCCCAAGGCAGCTTGGAGCTGGGGAGGGAGGGAGAAGGAGGAGGGATCCGGCACCTGCTCCCTCCCCGAGGATGGGGGGACTCAGAGGACAAAAGTGGGGTGGGGAGGAGAGAAAAGGAACAGTATGAAGAGGCAGGACAGCCAAAACAAAACCATTTTCTTTTCCTTTTTTCAAGATGAGAAGAGAGGAAGCCAAGGGGTTAAGAAACCAACCAAGCGGGAACCCTGCCCCTGCAGGAGGGCCCTTGTGTACCCACACCAGGGTGCGCCAGGGCCATCTGTGCCCTGGGAGAGGAGAGAGGAACGGTGGGGGGTGGCAGAGGCAGAGGGCGGCTGGGGTGAGTAAAGAGGGGCGCTGTGGGAGGGCGCTCGGAGAAGGCCAGAGGGGGCTGTGGCTAAAGACAGAAAGGCACAGAAGGGGACTGTGGCAGGCCAGGAGGACAAGAGACTGGAGGAAGGGCTGGGGGAGGCCTGGGACCTGGGGGCGCCAGGGAAGCCGAAGGGCAGATCCGGCCCGGGGAGAGGCCCGAGGAGGCAGAGGGCTGGAGGAAGGCCTGGGATTCAGGGACAGGCCAGGGGAAAGGCCCTGGTACCCCAAGGAGGGACCTGGGTAGGCACCAGTGCCCAGGGGAGGAGCCTGAGGGTCCAGGAAGTGGCGTGGAGGGTCAGAGGTCCACGGAGGGGCCTGGGGAGGGTGAGAGCGAGAGGTCAGAGAGCCTGGGGGTGCAGAAGGGAGCTGGGGAATGAGAGAGGGCTCAGGCAGAGGCTCCGGCGGTGCAGGGAGAGGCTTGGGTAGCGAGAAGGGTCAGGAGGGGCAGGGGTTCAAAGAGAGACCTGGGGGTGCAGGGGAGTCCCTGGGGCGCAGGGAGAGGCCTGGGTGAGAGAGGGATCAGGGAAGGGCCCGGCAAGGGGCCACAGGGAGGGAGCTGCAGCGCCGAGTGCCCGAGGCCCGCCGGAGGGCCGGGAGACGCG